GCTGCCATGGGGCCGTGGCCATCGCTGCCCCCAGGGTGCCGCAGCTGTGGGCACAGGGCAAAGAGCAGAACGGGAATGTGTTGGCAGCTTGCTGTTTCCCCTGCCAGGTTGCAGACCTCAGGGCTGTACCTGCTGCTGTCACCTCCATGTGCTCCCCCCTTGAAGGGGAGCTGTCTCCCCACCGAGCCCCCCGGGGATGGCAGGCAGCATACTTATGTTCTTTAGGGCCAAAGCCACGTCTAGGGCTCCTCTTGTCACCCCACAGCCAGCAGGGATGTACCTCCTCTCTGCTGGGATCGCTGTGTTAATGTATTTATGTGGTGCAGGCAGGGAGACAGCTCTGGGCTCCCAGCAGAAGCTCTGAGGGGTGAGGGCTGGGAGATACTGGGCTCACAGCAGTTCCTTTTCCCTCATGGTACAAGGAAGCTATGATCAGGTGCCTTTGCTTGGCAGTACCTCTGCTTGGTCTGGTCCCGCTCCCTCTTTCCAAACTGACCAGCATGAGCCCTCTGACCTGTGCCTTATGGGCAAGCTTCCCTGTCCCAAGGCAGCTTACATCTGGCTCTCTCTCAGGGCTGATCTTGCCGCAGTATCTAGAGCCCAGCCGAGTGCTTGGCCACAGCCTTTTAGAGCAGGGAAGAGCCATCACAACAAGCATGAATTATTTTCAGCTGAGCAGAGCTGGTGTTGGAGAAAGCTCCTTCCTTGGCCAAAGGGCACGGCTGACAGCCGGGCTGTTTACCAGCTCTCACGTTACAGGTCTAATTGCGGAGGAGGCAGGTCTGGTGGCAGCCACCCGTTGAAATCAGGATGCACAAAGCCTCCCTGTTACATGTCACTGCCTGATTTCATGCCTTCTGCTTCTCCCTCCTGCTGCTAATGAGTTCCCCTTGTCATCTCCAGCGCTTCCCGATGGGCCTGAAAGTGCTGCCTGGTGTGGTGATGTCCAAGTCCAAAAGCAGGCGGTGCTAGTGCCTCTGGGATGAGGACAGTGCTTTCCTTGCTGGGAATGAGTGTGCTGGGCACGCAGGTACCCTTCTGTGGGGCACGGGGCCTTGCAGCCTCCTGCCCCACGCTCTCGGTGGAGGGTGGCACTCAGGCTGGGGAAGGAGCCTCGTCTTCTCCCAGGGGTTTCATCTGCTGCTTTCAACTGGGCTAGGATGGTTCCAGCATTAATGTCCATTCTTGGAGGTCCTCTGCAAACCTCTCCCATGTGGTGCAGAGCACCAGATGGGACACGTTCTTCCTTGCCTCTCTACCTGGCATCCCAGCTGTGCCCTGGCCAGGAGGTGCCACAGTCGGTCCCCTCCCAGGCAGGGCATCAGAGAAGAGGGGTGAGAAAAACAGCAGCCACATTTTTCCAGAATATTCTTCTGACTTCCAACAGCTTGTAGCACGACTCTTAAACATCGGCTTCGTTTCCATCCTCTGAATAACTTGGTGTAGTTGGTGGACTTTGTGTCATCCCTCTCCCCAAAGTGCTGAGCGGCGGGGGCTGCAGCGCGTGTCCCCAGGGAGGAGCAGGGCTCTGGGGTGGTGTTGCTGGGTGATGGAGAGCTCTCTGGTGACAGCGGGCACTGCCAGGGGGCAGACAGAGTGTGAGGGGTGCAGGCAAGGTGCTGATGATGGTGGGAAAGCCGTTTGGGAAAGCCAGGTCCATCCTCCACCCGTGGGGAGGTCCGTGCTCTGCAAAACCCGTACTGGATTAGAGGTTAGAGGCACATGTACATGTTGTGCCTTGTAATATATGATGTCTAGGGAATTTTTTCCTCCCATTTCTTTTCTAGCAGGAAGGCTATTCAAAATGGAAGAAATCCATTAGATAGGGAATGTGTGGGAGTGTAAGCAGAGAGGCTGGGAGGAGGTGGGGAGGGCTCCCAGGATGGGGAACAAGGGGAGGGGATCTCCTTTGCACCTCATCAGGGTGCCCAGTGAGTGGGGAAGGAGAGGAGTGGGCTGGCACCAGCACTGGGAATTGCAGGTGAGCTTTCTTTTGGAAAGAAAATAAGCAGCAAGCTCTGATGAGAGCAGAGACTGAGCTGGTAGTGGAGGAGATGGTTGGGAGCTCCAGCTCCAGCCCTGCTGCAGGATGACTCAGTCTTCAGCAAAGGAGCAGGGGTAGGAGCAGGGTTAATACCCCCAGGAGTGGTTGAGCTTTTCACAGAATCCCAGCATGTGAGGAGCTGGAAGGGCCCTGCAAAGCTGATCCAGTGCAACCCCTGCCACAGCAGGATCACCAGAGCAGGCACACAGGAACACGGCCAGGGCTTTGGGTGTCTCCACACAAGGACACTCCACAACCTCTCTGGGCAGCCTGGGCCATGCTCCAGAACCCTCACACTCACAAAGTTTCTCCTCATCTTCAGCTGGAACCTCCTGTGCTCCAGCTTGGGACCATTGCCCCTTGTCCTGGCATTGGCCATCCCAGAGCAGAGCCTGGCTCCTTCCTCCTGACACTGCCCTTTCCCAATGGATCCCCAGGAATGAGGGCACCCCTCAGGCTCCTCTGCTCCAAGCTCCAGAGCCCCAGCTCCCTCAGCCGCTCCTCAGCAGGAGATGCTCCACTCTTTTAGCAGCTCCTGCTGGATAGTGGAGCGAATTGTTGCTTTGGTGGAGGGGACCACAGCACCTACCTCTGTCCCTGCAGCTGAGAGATGCTCCAGGCAAGAGCCCGAGATAGCAGAGAACAGAGCCAGGTGTCCACCAGCTGCTGCTGACTCGTGGGCTTCCTTTGGCTGCTCTCTCAGGACAGATTTCACTCTCCCTCTGTCCTGTGTATCTAGGGTTAACCTTTTCTGTGTCTTGTAGTGGGACAGGCACCTGTCCCTCTGCAGCCTGTGTTGGCTGGCTCTGTCTCCTACGACGTGTTTCATAGCCTCTTTCTTTCTTACAAAGTGGTTATCCTCATTTCCCCCCACCATGAAGGCTGGAACAGAGATGTTTCAAATGGTGGCCCAGGCAGTGCTGGCTCTGTAAGGCTCCTGCCATTTGGTGTGCTGGGAAGCAGCAGGAGGCAGAAGCGCTTGCTTGGGAAGGTTGTTCCTGTGCCCCAGGCTGCCAGCTCTGCGTGCTTAAAAATAGGGTTTAAATCCTCTCCTGGGTACAAGAGCCACACAAGAATTTCATAGAGCTTTTTAGAAGGGAGGAGGAGGAGGATATTTGAGACCTGGAGCCAGGATGGGGACACAAAAAATCCTCTGCACCTGCTGGAATCGTCCTCCAGTTTGATGGTGGGGTGTGACGGGTGCCTGATAGCCTGGCAGATGCCGTTGCTTTTGCTTGCTCTTGGCATACAGAGTCAGTGATTTGAACATGGAGTTCAGGCAAGGGGCTTCTGTTCCCCTCTGTGTTTGAGGGCATCACTGGCTTCCAGTTGCACCCACTCAGGATAAGTAACTCATTAATGTTATCCTTAAGATCTCTATACTATTCCTCTGCAAATAAAGCCTTGCAGCCTGTGTGAGGCTGTTGGCGTGGATCTGAGCTCTGCAAAGCAGTAACTGGATCTCCTAAAACTGTCTGAGCAGGTAAGTGATGTTCTCCTTCTCCATCAGGGGAGATGGAGCCAGCAGCCCTGGACTTCGTGGTGGCAAAGGCAGGGTGAGATGCCAGCTCTCCTGGCTCAGCTGTAGCTGGGCGGGTTTGGGAATACTTCAAAGGGACTCCATGGAGGGATTAATCCCTGAGCTTAGTGACTGTGGGTTTCCAGGGCTCGGCACGAGCTGGCAGATGAAGATATCTGCAGCAGCTCTCGCATTCTTTGGGCTCCCAGACACCAGCTTTGGGCCATGTGTGCTTTCTGAGAGCTGAGCATCCACAGCACCTTTCTAAGAGCGGGTGTAAGGCAGGAGCACCAGCGTGCCCTGTCCCTTACAGCCCTTGCACCGCAGAGGGGTCTCTGTGCCCACCCTGGTGACAGCACATCAGCAGGGAAACGGGTGGGTTTGGCATAAGTGAAGGTGAGGATGGGAGATGACTGAGGAAAAGAGATTTCCAGAGTGCTGTGTGAGAGGAGGAATGCTTTGCAGGTCCTCACCCGCTGCCACATCACTCAGGCTTTGCTGTTAGCCCAAGCTAACACAGGTTGATGTGGGGAGGGTGCTGGCTTGGCAGGGCAATGGTTGCTAGGCAGCCGATGTTCTGTCTTTGGTGCTGGTGAGCATCAATGGAACCCGTGCGGCCGTGCTCCTCAGCTGCTCCAGGATGCTTCCCTTTCTCTTCCAGGCTCTCCACCAGCTGTATTACGACCCAAACATCGAGAACAAGAACTTGGCTCAGAAATGGCTGATGCAGGCACAGGTCTCCCCCCAGGCATGGCACTTCAGCTGGATCCTTCTCAACATGGACAAAGTGCCCGAGATCCAGTACTTTGGCGCCAGCGCCCTCCACATTAAAATCTCCCGGTACTGGAACGACATCCCGGCCGACCAGTACGAAAGCCTCAAGTCGCAGCTCTTCACCCACATCACCCGCTTCGCCAGCGGCTCCAAGATTGTGCTGACCCGGCTGTGCGTGGCGCTGGCCTCCCTGGCCCTCAGCATGATGCCGGAGGCTTGGCCCTGCGCCGTGGCAGACATGGTGCGCATGTTCCAGGCAGAGGACTCCAACGTGGACGGGCGAGCGCGGTGCCTGGCGCTGCTGGAGCTGCTGACGGTGCTGCCCGAGGAGTTTCAGACCAGCCGCCTGCCGCAGTACCGCAAGGGCCAGGTACGCAGCGTCCTGGCGCAGGAGTGCAGCTCCGTCTTCCCTTTGCTGGAGCAGCTGCTGCAGCAGCAGGACTCCCCGGGTTTCATCAAGCAGAAGGTGTTGAAGTGCTTCTCCAGCTGGGTGCAGCTGGAGATCCCGCTGATGGACTGCGAGAACCTGATCCAGGCAGCTTTCACCTCCCTGCAGGACCCAGAGCTCTTTGACACAGCGGTGGAGGCTGTTGTCAATGCCATTTCCCAACCCGATGCCCAAAGGTAAGGGCATCCTCTCTCCCGTGCGCTGCTGGTGCTCCTGGGCATCAACGGGGAGCAGGGTGGGGAGGAAAAACCTTGGGCTTTTTTCGAGCTATCGCTGGCCCTGGAGGTGGTGATGACAGGGTTTGGAGAGGGGAGAAGTTAAAAGCAGCCGGAGGCTCCTGGTTTCACGTGGTTGGTCTTGGAAGGCTTTGCACTATGACTGACTTGTGAGGACCATGTTTGGAGCAGCTGCAGCCCATCTCCACCCTCCTGCTCCTGAGCAGAGGATGCTCCCTTCTGGTGCCTCTTGTGAGACCCTGCAGTGCCCGACCAGGGAGCAGCTGCCTGGCTCTGGCCAGGGGATGTTCAGAGACCCTCCTGATCCAGCCGAGGAGCTGATGTGATGCAGAGATAATAAAACCAGCCCTGTCAGCCTCATCCCTCCCTCTGACTCCAGCAGCTTGTGCCAGCCAAGGACTCGTCTTTTGTTTGTGCCCATGGCGCTGCCCCTGGAGCAGCTGAGCTGGGGCTGGGACTGGGGCAGGTCCTGCCAGGGCTGCGCTGTGGGGTGCTGAGCTCGTCTGCTTGGCTGCGTTGTCCGAGCTGCTGTCAGCTCTCGGGACCAATGCCGCAGAAAGGAAAGTACATCTCCTTCGGTTCCCCACCACATCCCCTCCTGGCTGCTTAGCAACCTTCCCCTGAAGAGGAGGGTTTTCTTGAAGGCTGGGCTGCGCTGCCACCGCTGTGCTTCCCTGTGCATCTCTGCGCATGGCGCAGGCTCCGACTCGCTGCAGCGGTGTGGGTGCTGCTGCAGTTGTGAGCCCTGGTCCTCCCCTTGGCTTCGGGGCAGGGGCACCCAGCACCATCCAGGCTCCAGGGCAGGCTGGGGTTTTCCTCTTTGATGACAAGAGAAGGGGTTGTGCCTGGAGACTGCAGGTCCTGGGGCACAAAGGGACCATCAGGATTTTGATGTGTTGCTGGGTGTGGAGAGGGGTTGCCTCAGCTTCTCTATGTACTAAGCAAAGGCTGCAGGTCAGCCCAAACTCTTGTAGAAGAGTTGGTGCAGAAAATGAGAAGGTGACTTGCAGTGCTGAAGCGCTGGAGGCTCTGTCTTCCTCGCTTCCATTCCCTCAAGTCTCACAAGTCCCTTGGCTGTGATTCCCAACCTGTGTGCAGGAGCCTGGCCCTGCAGCGCTGCTCTTTGGTTGTATGAAAAGCCTGAGCTTCCTCAGTGTGGCTGACAGCCCCATGCTCCTGTGCCGACCCCGCTGTGCAGTTTCTATCCCCATTCAGTCCTGCCACGCTGGCTGCTCCCTAACAGCATCACCGGTGTTTGCTCTCCGTCCTTTTCCCTGGAGGCAGAGCACCCTCCTGTCCACAGGCGTGCGAGCAATGGCCAGGACAAGGCAGGCAGCAGGCCTGAAAGGCTGCCCAGTGTGTGACCTTGGCACAGCCCCCGCTGCCAGGGCGTGGGGACAGCAGTGGCATTGTCACAGGGCCGCCCTACCAGGCGCTGTGGTGTCAGCTGCTCCGTGATGGCTTCAGGAGTGGGGTGGCACATGGAGCCGCTGCTTCCCGGGTGGGCTCTGTCTTCCTCTTTGTTCCTTGTGCCCTCCATCCCATGTCCCTCCTCTCGCTTCCCCTGGTGCTGACTGTCCCGCCCCTCCAGCTCTGTTGCTCTGCCGCAGCAGCTCCAGCTCTTCCCTGAGCCCCCAGGGAGTCTGCTGACCTTTCTGTCTCTTTTCTCGACAGCCTGGGAGATCCTGCTGCTTTTCAGCTGCTCTCTTCCTCCACTGTCTCTTGCCTTTGATTCTGCAGGGACTTGGCTCCCTGGCTGCCCTTGGCCGCAGGCTTGGAGCATCGTTGGCGCTGGGCTGCGGTCATGGTCCTCTCCATCACTCTGTGAGAGGGTTGATCTCGGGGCTCCCCATTTTCCCACGGGTTCCCCTGAGTGTTACAGACCTTGTGTCTTTCCCCCTTGCCATTCTCAGCTGCCTCCATTGATGTTGCTGCCGAGGTGATCATGCAGATGTGCTTGTGCTGTCAGCACAAGGCTCAGCAGCTTATGAGCGTGGCTTCTGCTGCCAAGGGTTAGGTAGCCCGTGGGTCATCTTCCCAGGGGAGTACCACCTTGCACGGCATCCCTCACCCTGCGAGGGATGTGTTCAGGTGGAGAAAGGCAAGTGGGACCTCATGGGCAAGGATCACCTGGCCATGGTGCTGCCTCGCTCTTGGGTAAGTCGCTTGTGCCCGTGGCATGGATTCCCCTGCCTGTGAGCAGCCGCGGGTGGCTTTCCTGCCTCCGAGGTGTTACTAGAGATGCTGCAGCAGGGATTTGTAGGTGCAGAGCATTTGATCTCCTTACCTGCCAGGTGGGTGGGAGCCCTTTGGTCTCAGAGGAGGGGGAGTGTGGATGCTGCTCCTCTGTTTGGTTGTGGCAAAAGGAAACTTCAGAGGCTTGGCCAGGAGCTGGCAGGGAGCGCCTCTGAGCACACCTCAGCCCTTGAGGGCAATGGGAAGCTCCTGAGTTGCAGGAGCAGAGTTACTGCTACATCTCATTTGCACAGGAGGCTTGGGCTGGATTTTCCATCTCGTTTGAAGATTATCCCCCAGCTAAGCGGGTCAGGGAGCTCGGCGGTGCGTGCTGCAGGGGGAGAGCTGGCACACAGCACTTAGCCACGCTCCTGCAGCCCGGCGGGCAGTTTTGGAGCAGGGAGAAGGACCTGCAAGTGGTGTGTGCCTGTAGCAGAAGTTATGGAGTGTGGGCATTGGACACTGAGCCACCTCTGAAAGCAGCCAAGCGTTGCTGCAGTGGTGGAGCTGGCAGGAGTGCAGGTGTCTGGGTGAGGTTGCTTAGTGTCCAGCCCATGCCTCCCTGGTCTTGGCACCTGGTGCTGAGTCCCTGAAGAGGAATTGCACTAGGAGAGCTTTCCAAGAGCTTCATTAGAAACAGATTCTTAATAACGTTGGGGTTTTCTCATCAGGTTGTGGCTTGGATTTTGGCTCAGGAAGGGTGAGATTGTCCCTTATGAGCTGCCTAATGTATCTCCTTGCTGCAGGTTGTCCCTTGTGCCACGGTGTGGTTTGGGGAGGGTTGTGGCAAGAGCAGAACGAGGTGCTGGTCCCACAGAGGGACCAGGCAAACTCACAAGAGAAACATTTGCTCAGCTGCTAAGCACCAAGATAGCAAAGCTTGCTGAGGAATGCAAACACAAATCGCTGGAGGGGAACGCATGGGCAAGTGCCACCGTATGGTGTTCGTAGGCTCTTTCACAGTGTTTCTGGTCATCGGCTGCTGGAGACAGGGACGGTCTCCTCATCTCCTGCCCGGCGTTGTCGTGCCCTGGTGGGCAGTGGTGGTTGGCAGCAGGGCCGGCAGGCGTCGTGTCTGCCTGCTGGGATGAGCTCTGCACCCGGTCAGGGCTGTGGTGCCAGCTGGTTGCTCGGGGCTGGGAAGCAGCTCTGAGCAGGTGGGGTGGTCTGGAGCTTTGTGCTGCTGGGCACAGAGGAGAGGGCACGGCTCCAGCTGGCGTGGCCATGGTTCTCGAGTGACTGGTTAAAGCAATACCTACAGCAAGAGTCTCCCTCCTCGCTGGGCACCCGTGTGTCCGAGTTGCCCTTGCATCCGCAGAGCAAGGCGGTGCTGGGGATGTGGTTCACCCAGCCTTTTCTAGAAGTCTTCTCTAACATGGGATGAGTTGCAGCGTGGCAGCAAACCCAGGCGGTTTCCCCTGTTGGCTGTGCGGGGAGTCCAGAGGACTTTGCTCAGGTCTTGGCATCTTCACTGTCAGGTTTTCAAGCAGAAGTGGGATCCTTGTTGTAAACCCCTAAAGCCACAGGAGGTATTTTAAGGTAGTGTGAGCCCAGTGCTGCAGAGGAAAGATGGCTTTACCCTACACAGGAGCAGCGGAAGGTCCCCTGTGCAGTTTTGTCAGCTCCCTTGGGCTGGCCCTGACTGCAGCATCAGTTCCCTGGGAGAGCAGCTAGCGAATTCCCAAATTCTCCATTACCTCCCACACTGCCGTGGGCATCAGAGGCTTGAAAGTGGTTGACATACGTATACCTGTCCCCTTTGCCATGCGGTTTCCTCTGGGGGAAAGAGGTGGGTCACCCCAACAGCACACAGAGGGGACTCTCTCCCTGCACCGGTGGCTTTATTTGCTCATACACAGTGAGAGCTGCTGTTGTGCTGGGCAGCGGAGCCGCTGTGGGGTGGACATGGTGTCAGTGCCCGTCTCTTCCCCGCGGTGGGCACAGGAGAGCCGGCATCACATGCGCCTCCCGCTCCGAGCATCCTCAGCCCCACACCTGCGTGCGCTGGGGCGGCCCGGGAGGGCACAGAATAGCCGCAGCTCCGGATAACACGCCTGGGCGGGCAGGGAAATGGCAGGCTGCTCATCAGCCTCCGGCAGGGCCTCTCTAGGGGGGCCCTGGGCTGCGTTTCACCTTGGCTGCCTCCTTCTCGTTGCCTTGGTTACCATCACTTGCAGGCAGCGGCGCAGAGGGGAGGCTGATGTGTGGATGTGATGGGGGAGAGCGGTGCTGCGCAGGGCTGCGGCAGCCCTGAGGGTGGGGGACCAGCGAGACGTGCCAGGGGGACAGCATCCTCCCTGGATAGGAATCCCCAAGGGTGGCTGCCCACCCTGTCCCAACCAGTGAGCACCATCGAGATGTGCCCATCCTGGAGGGCACCCGGCACCCTCATGCAGAGCACAGCAAGAAGAGCCCGCAGCTCTGCCTTCACCGCCCTTCTCCCGCTCCCCATCGCCGCCGTGCGCAGGCACAGCCTGCTCGTAGCTGGCCGTGGCGGTGACAAGTTATGGTCAGGGGGTGCTGGCAGCCCTGCTGGCAGGTCTGGGTGGGCAGAGGCAGATGCCCACAGCGTGGTGCAGCGGGAAATTTGCACAGAGCTGATGGCCGCTGGCTCGGCTCAGCTCTTCGCTTGCAGAGGCTTTGCTGCGCTCTGCTTGGGGCTTCACCACGATGCCACAGGCTGGGAGGAGGATCACTATAAGCGGTGGAGGCTCCTGGATGTGTCCCATGGCACAAAGCAGCCTTCGAGTAGGAAAAGCTGGGTGGGAGCCCTGGGAGGGGATGAGTGCTATGGCACCCGGTGCCAGGGAGGCGATGCCTGGCACTGATTCAGGCTGTGCTTGCAGGTACGTGAACACCCTCCTGAAGCTCATCCCCCCTGTGCTGGGACTTCAAGAGCAGCTACGCCAGGCGGTCCAGAGCGGGGACATGGAGACGTCACACGGGATCTGTCGCATTGCTGTGGCCTTGGGGGAGAACCACTCCCGGTGAGTGCTGGAGATGGTCCCCAGGAGAGGGAATGAGCTTGGAGCAGCCCTCTGTTCCCCACACGCCGCTTCATCCGGGGCCTGTCCTGCACCCGGTGATGTGTGTCAGGGCAGAGAAGCCAACTTTGCTTTTGGTGCCACCCTGACTGTGCTCTCTGCTCCCCAGGGCTCTCCTGGACCAGGTGGAGCACTGGCAGAGCTTCCTGGCCCTGGTCAACATGATCATGTTCTGCACCGGCATCCCCGGGCACTACCCTGTCAATGAAACCACCAGCTCCTTGACGCTCACCTTCTGGTACACGCTGCAGGTCAGTGGCCATCACAGGGCATCCTGCCCGCATCCTGTGCTCCAGACAGGGCTGGAGGCACCGGTGCACAGACAGGGACCAAGATCTGGCCTGGTTGTGTTTGGTCCCCAGGGATTTCCGATGCCCCAGCTCCTCTCCTTGCCCTCACAGCCACTGCAGGGCGCACAACTCAAAATGCTGGCCCCGTGGCTTGCTTTTTCCATCCCCAGCCTTTCTTGGAAGTCTGAGCCAGCCTTTAAGGGGCTAATTAACATAACTAATTAAAACTTCATGCTGGTTTTTATTTTTCCAGCAGCAGACCTGGTTGTTTAGCTCCATGCCGGCTGCGGGCAGGGAGGAGGGCACGTGCCAGCTCGCTGCAGGCTGGACCCCGCTGCCAGGCTGGCGGCTGTGGTCTGTCAGAGGAGGGGAATAGGGCTGGGAGCTGCTAGGGGGTGCCCAGCATGGGGTCCTCTCCCAAGACCAGCGTTCCCTGAGCCACCCCAGCAGCCCTGCCACGTCATGCTCTATTTTTATCCCTCGTTCATCCCCCTCAGCTCCAGTCCTCCGCAATCTGATGCGGCGTGGCTGAGTGTGGGCAGGGAGGGGGGCGATGTCGGCGCGGTGCTGGCAGCTCCTCTGCTGCACGGGGCTGGGCTGAGGTGCCCACCTCCTCTCGCTGCTTCTCCGGATGGGTCTGTGGATACGGGGGCAGGCAGGAGAGCGCTGTGCTCCCCAGGCACCCATCGCTGCCTGCCTTGCAGGGGTCCGAGGAGTGTGTGCTCCCAAGGCTGGGACACGGCAGGACAGTCCCACTCCAATGTAACCGTGCTGTCCCCAAATGCCCAAGGGTCCACCTGGTGGCTGGGGCTTCTGGTAACTTGGCTCCAGATTACGCTGCTGCAGCAGAAGGGGTCGGCATCAGGTGGACCTTGGGGAGATGCAACCTCCAAGGTGTGACAGGTCCCATTAGCCCTAGGAGATGCCCCTGAGCCCCCCATGCAGCGGACATGCTGGTTCCTTTCTCTTTCCCCTGCCACACCTGATGTATTCCTCCTCCTGCCCCCAGGACGACATCCTCTCCTTCGAGCCTGACAAGCAGGCGGTGTACCAGCAGGTCTACAGGCCTGTCTACTTCCAGCTGGTGGATGTCCTGCTGCACAAAGCCCAGTTCCCCTCCGATGAGGAGTATGGTTTCTGGTCTTCAGATGAGAAGGAGCAGTTTCGGATATACAGGTACAGCTGGGAGGTTTGGGTTTGCTCGTCAGGCAGATGAGGACACAGGCAGCCTCCCTGGAGCCTGAGCACCGTGGGGAGACCCAAGGAGGGATGTGGAGGGGATTCCTTCTACCAAAAGCCGTTTGGGCTGTGGTGGTGATAGAGAAATGAGCACTCCACATTGGACTGGGGCAATGTCCCTGTGCAGGCAGCACTCGTGCGCTGCATGGCAGCAGGAGGGGGTGTAACGTGTCCATGCGTGGAGCGCTCTGCAAGGAATGGGGACGGCCTTTAGAGACTCTCTGTGTTCTCTGCAGGGTGGACATCTCCGACACGCTGATGTACGTGTATGAGATGCTGGGTGCCGAGCTCCTGAGCAGCCTCTATGACAAACTAGGACGTCTCCTGACCAACACGGAGCAGCCATCCACGTGGCAGGTGAGAGAGGGGACCTGGGCACCAAGCTGATGGCTTCCAGCCCCTCAGGGACCTGTCCTCACCATGGGGCGTTGAGAGAAAAGGGATGTGACAGAGGCGAGGAGCATGGCCACCTTAACCAGCACAGGTGTGGGCTCTCTGGGATCTGCTGGGAGGAGAAACGGGTTATGTTCTGCCCCCCATCTTCAGCGCTACCCAAGGACCAGCCTCCTTGGCCACTGCAGGGGGAGTCTGAGCTAGTGCCTGGTGCTGGGGTGGGCATCGGGGCTCAGCGCATGACTCTGACAGGGCCTCTCCCACCATGGCAGCACACGGAGGCCTTGCTCTACGGCTTCCAGTCCATTGCCGAGACCATCGACGTGAACTACTCTGACGTGGTGCCGGGGCTGATCGGCCTCATTCCCCGGATCAGCATCAGCAACGTCCAGCTCGCCGACACCGTCATGTTCACTATCGGTGAGGCCTTTGCTTGCGCGCAGGCTGGGCTGGGGAGGGGGGAGATGGCTCCTGCTTGGCAACAACAGCAGCGAAAAGCAAAGCTGAGCATCCCGAGATGTGGGGAGCAAGATCCCGTGGCGCAGGCCTCTGGTCTGATCCCGTCTGTGTGCGCAGGGGCCCTGTCGGAGTGGCTGGCTGATCACCCTGTCATGATTAACAACGTGCTGCCGCTGGTGCTCCAAGCCTTGGGCAACCCCGAGCTCTCCATCTCTAGCGTCTCCACCCTGAAGAAGATCTGTCGGGAGTGCAAGTACGACCTGCCGCCCTATGCTGCCAACATCGTTGCTGTGTCGCAGGTAGGAGCTGGGCGTGTGACAGCGAGCCAGGAGGTGCAAACCCTTTGATTCCCATGGATCAGGGCAGGGGGACACAAAGCAACCGCTCAGGGCATCTTGCTTGCTGTGGGGGGCTTGTCCATTCTGTTCCTAGGCCAGTAGATCCAGATGGCGGGATCCCAGGATGTGAGGAGCTGGAAGGGACCTGGAAAGCTCCCCCAGTGCAACCCCTGCCAGAGCAGGATCACCAGAGCAGTCACACAGGAACACGGCCAGGGCTTTGGGTGTCTCCACACAAGGACACTCCACAACCTCTCTGGGCAGCCTGGGCCATGCTCCAGAACCCTCACACTCACAAAGTTTCTCCTCATCTTCAGCTGGAACCTCCTGTGCTCCAGCTTGGGACCATTGCCCCTTGTCCTGCCATTGGCCATCCCAGAGCAGAGCCTGGCTCCTTCCTCCTGACACTGCCCTTTCCCAATGGATCCCCAGGAATGAGGGCACCCCTCAGTCTCCTCTGCTCCAAGCTCCAGAGCCCCAGCTCCCTCAGCCGCTCCTCAGCACGAGATGCTCCACTCCCTCCAGCATCTTTGTGGCCCTGCTGGACTCTTTCAAGCAGTTCCTGTCCTTCTGGAGCTGAGGGCCCAGCACTGGACACAAGATTGCAGCTGTGGTGTGAGCAGGGCAGAGCAGAGGGGCAGGAGAACCTCTCTGCCCTACACCCACCCCTTCTCATCCAGCCCAGGATGGCGTTGGCCTTCTTGGCCGCCCCGTGTCCTCTTGTGAGTGCAGAAGTGGCAGGCGATGGCAAACACAACTGCCAAGGGGTTCACTGGGACTGCACTGGGGGATCCAGCCTTTCCCTGGGGTCTTTTTTTTGCCTTGCTGGGAGCAGCATCCTGCCCACTCTGCACCCACCGAGCAGCTGGTGCCACTGCTGAGCAGCTTGGGGGACATTCTGGTGTTCAAGCGTCTCCACAGAGAATGAGCTGGTCCCTGCAGTGCTGAGGCAGCTCATCATGTCAAGATGTGGAGCAGATGGGACTGAGAGTCCCAAGGCACCAGGAGAGGGGCTGGGGTGTGCATGGGAGCTGCATCAGTCCTGACTCCCAGAAGGGAAAGGGCTTTCTACAGCACTCACCCTCCTTTTTCTGTCTTCCTTCCCTTTGGCAGGAGGTGTTGATGAAGCAGATTCACAAGGTAAGAGGGGGTGGCCCACACCTCTGGCTGGTTCCACTTGCCCCCGTTAGTTGTGCTCAGCTGATGACACCAGGGGTGCCACTGCAAGCTGGGCTGTCCTTGGAGGGGACATCATGCACAGGGCCCCGAGGAGCTGCTGGCTGCCTCTCGCTGTGTTTGCACGGGGGCTGGGGTCGTGCTTGGGGCTGTGTCCCCATAGAGAGGGAAGCCCCCAGGGAGACCTAACTCTAGCACTTCCCAGGACCTCCAAGCCCAAGGATGGCAAGACTGCAGGCATGCCTTTAGGAGGGAAAAAAGGAGGGAGATAAGTGTGAGGACATTGCCCAGGCTGTCTTTGGCCAGGACAGGGTGAGACTCTTGACCTCACAGGGGCTGAGCCAGGTCTGATGTGCCAAGGTGGGGTGAGTGGTGCCAGCATGGGCATCTCTGAGCACCTACTGGTCTTTCCTTGGCTCTGCTGTGCTGGTAGGGAGCTGCTCCCCTCTTCTGCAGTGAGATGGACCTAGAGTGACCCGGATAGAGCAGCTCAGGAGCTGCAGCACGCTGGTGTCTTGGCTAGTATGTGTGCGGCAGGGCTGCGGACTGGGCAGTGACCTGCTGTGCTGTGTCTCCTCTCTGTCCCAGACGAGCCAGTGCATGTGGCTGATGCAGGCTCTTGGTTTCCTGCTCTCTGCGCTGCAAGTGGAGGAGATCCTGAAGAACCTGCACTCCCTGATCACCCCATACATCCAGCAGCTGGAGAAGCTGGCTGACGAAACGGTGAGTGCCCCCGTGCTACCTCTGTCCAGACGTGGCTTCTGCTGGCTGTAGCCCCAGAGCTGCTGTCTTGATGCAGCACTCTTGGACGTGGGCTTAAGGGAGTGCAGGGAACACCCCTCTGGCACTTGGCCTCTACAGTCCTGGTTCCTCAGCATCCCAAAGGCGTGACTGGGATTGAGCAGTGTTGGTCTATGTCACGTTTTGGCTTTATTTTCCCTGGCAGCCCAATCCCTCCAACAAGTTGGCCATCATCCACATCCTGGGCCTGCTCTCCAACCTGTTCACCACTCTGGACATCAGCCACCATGATGACGACCACGAAAGCAACGAGGTCAAGAAGCTGCCAGTGCAGCAAGGACCCAACCCAGTGAGTACAGCAGTAGCTCAGTGCTCTTTGCCACGACCTGGCCAAAGCCACTGGTGCCTGGTGAGGGGGGTTAATGGGGAGTGCAGCACGTACCATGAGAGGGTTGTGATGGTGCATTCCAGCTAAAATAAGTCCTTCAGCTCATCCTGTGGCTCCTGAGGTGGGCAGAGGTGACCTGCAGGATCCCTCTTGGCCGTTGATCCCATCTTGGCTGCTCTGGAGGACAGCCCAGGTGCTGCCTGCCAGCTTTGAGCTGTGCTTCAGCAGCGGGGGAAGCTGCTCAGCTTCAGAGGGTGGAGGAGGCAGCAGTGCCTGAAGATTTGAGTCCAGGCCATGCTTAGTCTTGGATCTCCTGTCCCTGGTGCTGTGATGGCCGATTCTCTGGTTCCTCGCAGGTGGTGGTGGTTCTGCAGCAAGTCTTCCAGCTCATACAGAAGGTTCTCAGCAAGTGGCTGAATGATGCCCAGGTGGTAGAGGTAACCAAGCTCTGAGCCGTGTACTGTGCCTGTATCTCTGCCCATCCTTGCTAACCTGAACTAGGGACAGCAAAGGACAGGGGGATGTCCTGCTGGGTTGGCTGGACCAGTGCCACTTGCTGTCACCAGCAGTGTCCAGCCATTCTTCTCTGGCTTGTGCCCCCATCAGCTCTGCTACTCTCCAGTTACAGAGGCCCTGCCATGAGCAGGGAGATGGGAAGTGGGAGTCTACCCAACCTATGTTCCCCAAGGGGACAGCTCTGCTCTGTACTGGACCTGTGTGGTGTGGTGTTTCAGTTCAGTAATGCCAAGGTGCAGTGTCCCACCAGCCACTCTTCCTCTTGGCCCTTGGGGAGCCTTTCTGCTGCAGTGGGAAGGTGTTTACTGGTCTCTGGGACCATCCTGTGCTGGAGACCAGGGCACCACCACCAGAGCGGGTCTGAGCCTCTGCCTGGCTGGTCCCTGTCCCTGTTGCCAGCTCTTCCCTCCCTTGGGACCCATCCATCAAGCCCTACACCCCTTCAGGAGAGGTGTCCTGATGCCCACTGCTCAGGCTGTCCCTCTTCTCCTGCAGTCCGTCTGTGCCATCTTTGAGAAGTCCGTGAAGACCCTCCTGGATGATTTTGCCCCCATGGTGCCTCAGCTGTGTGAGATGCTGGGGCAGATGTACAGCACCATCCCCCAGGCCTCTGCCATCGACCTCACCCGGCAGGTACAGAGCCCCGCTTCAGGCTGGGGCTGGGACTGCTGCTCCCTGGGGCACGCAGGGCCAGCAGCAGCTCCAGTCCTCTCCCTCTCTTGCAGCTGGTTCACATCTTTGCCCATGAGCCTGCCCACTTCCCTCCTATCAAGGCCCTCTTCTTGCTCGTTACCTCAGTCACGCTGACCCTGTTCCAGCAAGGTACGTGGGGTTCACTTCTCCTCGTGCTGGGGCTGTTGTCAGGCTGTTGCATGCGTGGAGTCTGGAGGCGTCTTACCAGGAATGGCTGTTTTCACTCCTAGCTAAGCTAATGGGGCCATCTCTGTTTCTTGGATTCATCCCAACCCCTGGAAGGTGGGTACCTTCCCTGCAGGGCAGCAGAAGCAGGAAACCCCCCACAGGCGAGACTCTTGGACTGCCGTGACAGCCCCGTTTCTGCAGCAGGGCTGGGCGTTGTGTGCTGTGAGGGTCGAGCTGGAGCTCCCACCCCGCTTGGCAGGGAGGTTGTGCTCCCCGGGAGGTCCCGGGCCTCCTTTGGGGGCTGACGCTGCTTGCAGTGGCCAGGAATCAAGCCCTCGCATGAGCAGGAGGATGTGTGTGTGTTCAGCTGGGAAAGACCTTTTCAGAGCCACTGCTGGCCACTGAGTCACCACTGGGATGCTGAGGATGCTGCCATCCTCCTGCAGGGCAGGGGCCCCTCTTCAGCTCACTGCCCACCCTACGAAAAGCAAATGGGGGTTAGGACAGGCCCTACACACCATGGCTCCCCTCAGCCTCTTGGTGACGTGCCCCATGGCAGGGATAAATGTGCCTTGGACCTCCCGGCTCTGGTCCTTCAGCATCTCCATATGCCCAAGGGGTCTTGTCCTTTGCTCAGAGCCCAGTGCTGGGTAGGGTGATGCTATCCCCCAGTACAAGGCTCAGGGCTCTCTAGAGAGGTGGGAGAGGCGTGAGGACCCCTGCTAAATCATCACGCCACGGTCTGAGCCTGTCCTGCTGCGCTGAGGTGACGCTGGGGTCAGTGGCACCAGTGAGCTGGGCTGATCTGAAGATCAAGCCCCTGCTTCTGCCAGTGGTGTGTGGATGTGTCTACGCTGAGACCCTTCTAGCTTGGTGCCTGGGGAGGTGACGATGCCTCTGGGCAGCAGCAGGGATGTCCGCAGGAGGAGAGGGAGAGGGGACAGAGCCCGAGCTGTGCCAACGCTCGGGCGCAAGCTTTGCTCAGGCAAGCAGCAGTCCAGCTCGCTGTGTGCCCTGGACTGTGCTCCCACCCAGCCCATGGGTCCCCTTCGGTGGGCAACCAGCCCTGAGCAGGGCGAGCCCCTTCTGCTGAGCCCATGGGCAGCAGGAGAGAGGGGGACGCTTGACCCGCAGGGGCCAAGATGTGCACAGATGCCAAGGTAGGGTGAGCGGTGCTGGCATGGAGACCTCTGGGCACTCAGCACTCTCCCAGGAGGATGCTGGAGGAGACCTTCAGGAGGAGGGTCCTGGACTCAGGGTCTCGGAGAGCATCTGGGGACGGGGCGGGATGGGGGCTGTGCCAGGGGCGCCTGAGCAGCGGGTGCTGGTGACAGACAAGCATGTGCACGCCTGAGCCCGGCCGGACCTGTCCAGCGTTTGCTGAGGTGTTGTCGTTCACTTGCAGTTATCTTCCAGGACCAAACGGTGCTCTGAAGACACCCGCTCAGTCCCCACAGTGCAAAAGCTCTAATTCTCCTTGTGGAGATGGTGCCCAGCTAGCCCCTGCTCCTCCTCTTCCTCCCCAAGGACACGAAGATCTCCTCCTTGGCTCTGCAGCACCCAGGTGCTGGCTGGAGACCCTGGGGCTTCAGACCCTTTCCTTTGCAGTTTCTTTCTGTTCTTGGGTTCTCCAAGTTTCATGATTTTTTGTATGTTTTGTTTCTTTAACTTGCTTCAAGCTGCTCATGTTGCCCATCCCCTTCCCCACACACCCCTCCTTCCTTACACTCCTGTTTTCACTTGTAAATTCTTTCTGTATCACATAACTATATGATGTTGAGTTGCTGTTTGTATGATTTTTCTCTTAAGTTACATCTTTATTATATTTTAGGGCCCAGGGATCATCCTGATATTGTTGATTCATTTATGCAACTCCTGGCACAGGTGTGTTTTAGTTTCTTATTCATTCACTTTCTGTTCTCTCTCTTTCTCTTTTTAATTCGATTTAAACCTATTTTTAGCTTTCTGTTGACAACGTTTTTTTTTAACTTTTAGTTGAATATCGAGTTTCTCCATCTGTTTCCGTGGAAGTTGAAAACAAAACATTCTCCTTTAGTTCTGGGTTCGCACCATCCCCAGGGCAGTGCCCTCCTCTGCAGGGCAGCTTCCACCCCCTTGCCTTGCCAAAGCCGGCGCAGGGCGCCTGGGGCTGCTGCCACCGTCACCCTTGGGTGACGGACAAATTAGAGCATTAAGTGGATGTTTTCTGACCCGTTTCCCTGCTCTGTGATGGGTCCTCTGGAGCGGAGACGGGCCGAGCTGGCTGCCTTGCCCCGGGGCTGGTGGGAGGAAGCCCCATGGCTGCCGGGGTTTGGCTCTGAGCAAGGTGCTTGCGATGGCATCTGGGGCTGCCAGGGTGGATGCCACGCTGCCTCCTGCCTTGGGAGCCTCTCAGGATGGTGGCATCTCCTGTCCCTGCAGCCCAGGAGCGCTGCTGGTTTGGTGCTGTGTGGGGACAGCGCACATCGGTGTGGCGGGGCTGCGGGCTGGCACTCGTGTCACCGGCACTCGTGTCACTGCTGGCGGTGGGCAGGCAGGGCCGGTGCCGTGCTGTGTGTGTCTATACAGCTGAAGGAAGCCCAGCGTGCTCCTCAGCCCGCTGTGGCCCTTGAGAGTGAAGCCCTGATGTCCTTGAAGCACTCGGTGTCCCCATTGGAGACGTGTCCCCCAGCATTTACCCAGAGGGTGGGTCGGTGGTGAGGAGTGGCATCCTGCTTCATTTCTGTAATGGTGAGACCTCAAACCACACGTGCTGACCCGGTGGCTGTGCAGGAGCACCCACCCAGGCATTTGCCAGCACCGTGGCCATCCTGCCCTTGCTGGCAGCCAGGAAAGGATGGGTCTTGTGGGTCTCTGCTCCTCATGGGTCTCACCTTGATGCCCGGATCCCGCTGAGACCCATCGCATCTCACAAGCCACATTGCAGCGTTTTCTTCCCTGCTTTTCATCTTGAAAGATGTAACGTAACTGACGTTATTGGAAAGCATTTGCAGCTTTCACTGGTGCCAGTTTTGGAAGCCGTGACCTTATAACCTGGTTTTCAGAGGTGATGGGAGGATGGTGAATGGGGTCTGTGTGTAACTGAGGTTATTGGAAAGCATTTGCAGCTTTCGCTGGTGCCAGTTTTGGAAGCCATGACCTTATAACCAGGTTTTCAAAGGTGATGGGAGGATGGTGAATGGGGTCTGTGCATGAAGTTCATGGAGATGTGTCCTTCCCAGCCACTCAGTGCTGGTGAGGCCTCTGCTCAAGCACTGCACCCAGTTTGAGGCACAGCATTTCTGTAGATACAGAGCAGAGAGCACAGAGAAAAGCATCTGAGAAGATGAGCACCGTGTACACGTGGTGAGGAGGAAAGGCTGATGGGAGCCTGAGGAGCTGCAGGAGTCTTAGTCTGTAAAAGGTCATGTCCCATTTTAGATAAAAACCCCTTTTCTGGGGTCTTTGAGTGGGACAAACAGTAACTGGAGGAGATAAGAGAAAAGAATCCAGGTCAGGCAGTAGGAGATATGGAAGGAAGCCATGCAAGGTCACTCGGGGAGCTGCTGTTGCTTGGAGGGCTTGAAAGGACTCCACAACCCTGTTGCTCTTGGAGGGCAGGTAGAGGTGATCCTGCCGAGGGAGTAGGGCATTAGGTGACCCTGAGAGACTCTTCCAGGCTATTTATTGTTTCTTTGGAAAGTGCTCAGGGCCCTTCTCTGTGTCTGGACATGGGACACCGGTGTTTTCTTGTGCTGCGCGTCCATGGGATGTGCTGTGGGAGCAGGCAGCACCCATCCCAAACAGCCGCTGGGCAGGCACGGGGGCAGCGTGCTGCTCTCTGGACAGCCTGCATCCTTCAGAGGAGGATGAGAGCAGCTCAGAGGATCACCATGAGACTTCCCACATTGTCCTGCCAGCCCACCACTGCCCTCTCAAGATCTGATTATTTCCTGGGCTTTTTATTCCAGCAACCCCCACAGTGACCACAGGATCCCATCCCCATCCTCTCTCCCCATGCTCAGGACTTGTTTCAAAGTTTTCTCCTCTTCCTTCGCCTGCCCCTATTCCCAAACTGATGATCTGGCAAGATGCTTTGAAAACCCATCAAGAAATGGCCCTGCCCTCCCTGCTTGGCTCCTTGCTCTCAGGACTTGAAGCGGTGTCTGATGGCAGAGCTGGGTCCAGCCTGTCCTCTTCCAAAGGACCATGCTCTGCAGTGATGCTGTTGAGCATTTGTAGACCCAAGGATTCAAGTCAGAGAGAACTGCAGATCTCTTCAGACCCAATTTTCATCTGGTGGAGGCTGTGTTTTCATCCCAGCCTGCCCTACCTGCAAGCCCTTGGTGAAGTAATGCATCTTCCAGAGCAGCAGTGAGTTTGGGCCCTAGAGTATGTCAAGGTGGAGGCTTTTCCACTTCTCTGTCAGCTCAGGGATCACCTTGGTGGAAATGCCATCGTCCCTGTTTCAAATTCATCTGGTTTCTCCTTGCAGGCAGTGTTTGTGTCCTCTGCCTCTGCCAGCAAGTTCTCTCCTACCTCCTGCTAGCTCAGAAGCAGCTCCTGCCTCCTGATACTCCCACATCAGCCCCCTGTCACCAGCTCGTAGGGGACCATTTCTCTGTGTGACAGGATTCCAGTTGGCTTTACAGTTGATTTATCTGGGCTTAGTTTGCAGTCTGTGGGACTGCCCCAGTGGTGCAGCTGGTCATTTTGCCACCGTGTTAGTTGGCAATCCACTCTTGATGATGGCTGGCTGATCGTGAGAGCATGAGGGCTTAAATCAAGTGTCTTACAGATGCTGAAGACCCTGGAATTACTACTCGAAGCTAAGTATGAAATAACCAGTCTGCCATAAGGCTGCATGGAGCAGTGCAGGCACTCTTTGCGGTGAGATCTGTCCTCAGCTGCTCCCTTCCTGCCTGGTGTTTGGGAGCTCTTGCCCGCTCCCTGACCAGCGGGTGTCCCTCCAGGTACAAGTGGAATTTTGGGACTCTCCAGCCTATCGGGGCCGCAGTCACATCCACACCAGCATGAACCTTGGGATCACTGCAGCGACCTCCCCTGACTGGGAAGCCCAGGGCAGACTGGGCGAGCGCGGCCTCGCCAGGCAGGAGATGCAGGACCGACCTTTTGTGATGGCACAGCCGGTGCCAACCCTCACCTCTCTCCCTTCTTGGGCTGGTCCAGGCTGCATACAGCAGTCCTGGAGCTCTGCACCATGCCTGCTCCTGTCACAAAGCCCCTTGGAGGCTGTAGGCTTAGCATCCCCTCTCCCTGGTGGGCAGGAGCTGATGGCTTCTTCTTGGCCCCAGTGCTCGTGTGCTTTTCCCAGAGCTGGAGGCTCTGCTTTGCCAAGGAAGGTGGTGGTGCCAGACACAAGGGCTTGATCTGTGCATTCTGGAGAGCTGCAGGCACTGGCCGTGCAGCCCTGCACTGTTCCATCTGCTGGAGGAGTGGGGTTCAGTGTCCCCTCCATGCCTGCCTGCCTCTGAAGAGCCAGGCACAGAAGAGAAGCCAGATCTGAAGACCTGTCTGAGCATCTCCCAGCTGCCATGGAGAAGAACCTGATGTCCTTTCTGCACCAGCCTGCAGGACAGCCCTTTGCCAGAGAGCCGGTGCCTACCACTGCAGTGGCTGCTGCAGCAGAGGATGTGGGGAGGCATCTGAGAGCATTTAAAGACCTGTCCCCATCCCAGAACGTATGAGCAGAGCTGCTCTGACAGGAGATGAGGAGGGCAGGCTGCTAGTAAGAGGCCTCAGAGCTGGAACAGGGTTTCTGGTGCTGTGAAAGAGCAGCTGAACCTACTTGGTGTTGCTTGCTAATGGGAGAAGCTCCACAGGGCCCCATCTTATGCAGGTAAAAAGCATCTCTGTCTACATTAGACATGTGCATTAGACAGATTGGGCTTGGACTCTCCCTTAGTGGAGGTGTCCTATGGGAAGGAGCCCTCGCAATACTGGCACGCTTTCCCCCATGGAAAGTGAGGAGCAGATGCTGCAGCAAAGTCTGCAGGAGAGCTGCTGGGCTCTGCCTGCTGCAGGTCTGCCTTGGCTGGGAGAAGCACCCCGCAGGTAGGTGGCAACCTGAGCACATTGGGAGACTCCTGAATGCAGGACTTGGGTTAAATGCAGCCCCTTGAACGGGCAGGGTAGAGGAATCTGCAGCTGGGTGGTGTCACAGGAGCCAGCTGCCCTCAGGCAGCCAGGTTTCCAGTGTTGGCGCTAGCATAGGAGGGGTGATGCTCACAGCCTGTGTACATACACACACAGGTATAACGTGACCCCCCTGATCACCCCTGTGAAGGTCTCCGCTTGTATCTCGCAGGGAAGCAGGTCACTGCGGTTGTGCCATCTCCGCCTGGTACAGCGCTGCGTTCAGTGCCCAGACCTGAGGCCTCTCTTGCAGCGTGTGATGCAAAGGGTTGGAAAGGAGCTGGGGTAACTCTGAAACCTGCTCCTCAGCTTCTTGGTCTCCAGCATATGTTCTCTGTACTGGGCAGATGGCTGATGGAGAAGAAGGGGTGGGAAATAAATCTGTTTTGCTTCAAGTAGAAGCCATGGCTGTGGCCGGGTGGCCATGTGTCCTGGGTGCTGCTGGCTGGATGCTGTCCCTGCTTTCATCCCCAGGAGCAGATCCAGGGGGTGGCAATGGCCCTGCCTGAGGGCTGTCTGCCCTGGTACCCTGCTCTCCGAGCTGCAGGCACAGAGCAGGGCCACTCTAGTGCTCCATAGCTGCTGTCCCAAGTGTTGCAGTGACAGCAGGGCAGTGGGCATGGTGGCATGGTGGTGGGGGCACCAATACAGCTGCCTTACACAGCCAGGCTTGCTGTGGCAGGGCAGAAACACTTCTCATGGAGTGGAAGGTGCAGGCTTAAGCATTTCTAGCCAGTAACTGCCCAGTGCCAGCACAGGGTGGGACGAAGCCACTGCAGGGGGTGCCAGAGCTCAGGGTGTCCCCAGCAGCAGTGCCTGACCCCCTACAGAGGCTGGTGGCATTGCTGTGTGGCAGAAAACAACCAAAGCTTTTCTGGTCTCAGACTTGCTGTTTAGGAACAAGCAGTGTTGGCATCTCGTTGGCATCTGTGCCCTGGAAGTGACCCCAGGGACACCAGCATCTTCAAGAGGAGAGGAGTAAAGCACAGAGGTGGCTGGTGTCTGCATGGCTGCCCGTGTCCTGGGAGCACTCCTGTCCCATCTCTGTGTCCAAAGCGTTTGTGCACACACCACTGTAGCATCCTCAGGTCCTCCAGTCGGTGGTCCCTGAGCATAGCAAACTGCCTGGCTGTTTGATTGACATTTTCTTGGGGGGGAAGCGATGGTTTCCTGCTGTACTGTGTGAATCTGCCGTTTACCGCGGGTGTGCCCAGGTAAGTGTGCGTCCAGGCAGAGGCTGTCTGGGGCACCGGGTTCCTCGGAGGCTTCCTGGCTGCCTCTGCAGCTCTGGGTTTATGCTGCCTATCTGTGTGCCTTGCAGGCTCTGAAAAGGAAGCCGGACCTCTTCCTGTGTAGCAACCTGGATGTCAAAGCAGTGTTTCAGTGTGGTGAGTACCATGGGCTTCGGATTGCTTGGTTTGGGGGAAGGCAGCTTGCCAGGCACAGACCAACCTGGAACTGGGGACCACAGGGCTGATTTGGGATGGTGCACAGTTTTTCTGGCTGCTAACCCCAGCAATTTCTGCTCACAGGTGTCCTTTCGCTCAAGTTCCCCGAGGCCCCGACGGTCAAAGCATCCTGCGGCTTTTTTGTGAGTGTCGTGGCGTGGTGCAGCCCTCTGAGAGCTGGGAGGGCAGGCGTGAGGCTGCGGGTCGGGCAGGGGAGCTGGGTGTGGAGCCCATTCCAGCATTGAGTGGGCTGGGGTGTGTGTGTGTTGCAGACAGAGCTGCTGCCCCGCTGCGGAGACATCGCTCCAGTGGGACAGGTCGTGCATGAGAATGGAAAAGTGCTGCTGCAAGCAGTGCTGGAGGTGAGAGAAGCCAGGACCATGGGCTCTGTTCTCTGCCAGGGGCAGGGGGCCTGGCCCTGCGGGTGGGTGCGGATGAGGTGAGGCTGGGGGCTCAGCAGGGTCTGTCTGCTCTGGCAGGGTGTCGGTGGCCAGGCCTCCCGCAGCCTCATGGATCACTTCGCAGAAATCCTCTTTGCCTTGAACAAGCACTGCTTCAGCTACCTGAGCATCTGGATCAAGGAAGCCATGCAGCAGGACGGCTTCCCCTCGGCCCGCGTCAGCCCTGAGCAGAAGGAGACCTTCAGCCAGCAGATCCTCAGGTTCGTGCTCCCTTCCCTGGGCCATGACCCCCTCCGTGCACACACGGCCCGGTTTGTCCTTCCTGCTTCACCTTTATCCCATCCCTCTGTCTCAGCAGAGAGCGCGTGAACAAGCGGCGAGTGAAGGAGATGGTGAAGGAGTTCACCCTGCTGTGCCGAGGGCTGCATGGCACGGAGTACACAGCAGACTACTGAGCACTGGCCCAGGACCGCGGACAATTTGCCCGGACC